CTAAGTTGTCGTTCGGTCTGACGGTCCTGATAATCCTCTGCGTCGAGGCTCGGTCAGGGCCGTTTATGGTTTTTTTTTGGGAACCGTTGTTCCGTACGGAACAATCATAAAATCATCTGCTTACACCAAGAAAAATAAGAATAATAAATCTCCCCTTTCCATATCGATAAAATCTCGGTTAAAAAAATTAGAATTACAATTCTCCCAATATCACTAACAAATTTCACCGTTAAATCACCTTGCACCGAGAAGAACTAAAAATAGCGAACCTCCACCTTTCGTATCCATAAAAGTCGCAAATAAATTAAAAATGAAAATTCCCTCGATATCGTTAATTTGTTAAATACATTTGTTAATTACACCGAGAAAAAATGAGAATAAGAAATCTCCACCTTTCGTATCGATAAAAGTCAGAAAGAAAAAAGAAAAAAAAAGCGAAAATTCTCTCAGTACCGTAAAATTCACCGAGTCGGACGAGTGTTTCTTTCATATCGAGCCACCTTTCAAATTCCTTCCCGTCAGAGACGACGTGGAAAGGAGAGAAGGAGCACTTGTTATCGACAAGTGAAAAAATTCATTTTATCCGAGGGTGGATTTTGACGGTGCGGTATAAGCGTTAATGGAATCAGACGGACGGCAGCCTTTTCTCACCCCCGCCGACGAATACTACACTCGGGGAAAAGAAGGGAATCACCGTTGAAACGTGGCGGGATTTCGACGTGGAGGAGCACAAAGCTTTTCGAGGCTGGCCAATTGAAAGCGGGACACCGTTAGTCGAAACCGATTACTCGTCTCCTCTGCCAGTCCCTGCTTCTTATTCAAACCTTTTTATACCGGCCGAAGAAAGTACCTCGAGAAAGCTCTATCTAATTCCTCGTATAATCATCCTCGCTTCAAATTTTCTCACGTAATCGCGGAAATTAGGAAGAGAGAAATTTTACAACCCGTATAAAAGATTAACTTCGACGAATAATACGAAGTTCAATGAAAATTTCGAGACTTTTCACGGGTCTAGATTGTTTGCGAATTGTTCAAAGAGAATTCTAGGTTTCAATTGGTTTTTTATTTCTGTGGTTTCAGTAGGATTGCAGGGTTCAGAAAACACGCTAATAATGAAATTATAACGAGGAAGCTGCGACGCTTCGTACAGTATCGTTATTTGTCCAGAAATGTTGTTTCTGTTCAAACTTTGTGTACCATTTAAATTTCAGATGTCGCTTAATTTTTTTATTACTGAAACTCATCGTGCACTGTGCGGCCAATATAGTGTGGTTCTTTGACTTTTTTTTGGCAACTCTTTACACAATTTTGTTCGGTAAATAATTTATTTTTGCATACTAAAAGGGTTATTTAACGCTTTAACGACAAACGAAACTTGCACGTCCTACTTAAACAGCGAAATGAAAATTGAGCTCGAGTTAAAATAAAGAATTCTTAAAAAGATTAAAGGAACGAAGGGAGAAATAAAACGCCAGCGAAACGGTGGAAATAAAAAAAGCTAATTGCCTCGATTAACAACTCAACGCAAGAGTAAATCCCGCCGAGAAAAGAAACTTCCAACCTGGCTGCAACATCCATACAAAGCTTCACAAATCTTCCAGCACAGGTTGGTACCTCTCGAACCTCAGTACGAGCCTCCATTACTCGGTGAAAAACTGAAATGCACCGCAAACACCGTATCAATGTTGATCGTCGGTTTCCCCATTCATCCTCGTAAAACACTTTCGCCGAGAGAAAGAGAGAAAGAGAGAGGGGCTTTAATACCCAGTCTGGTCGGAGGAACAGCGTGAAATTTGGGTCACGAAACACGAGAAGAAGGGAGAGCTTCTCGTATTTAGCAATCGAACATCTTTCTTCGGAATACTGTGCGATTTGAAAATTCCACGATTGTCCGCGATAGAAGTCTCTCTCTCTCTCTCTCTCCCTCTCTCTCTCTCTTTCCTTAGAGAGAAAATAGAGAGAGAAGTCTGTTTTCTCTCTAGGGAAAGGGAGAGAAAGAGAGAGAGAGAGAGGTCTGTTTTCTCTCTAGAAAGAGAGAGAGAGGTCTGTTTTCTCTCTAGGGAAAAAGAGAGAGAGAGAATTCTGTTTTATCTCTAGAAAGAGAGAGAGAGGTCTATTTTCTCTCTATAGAGAGAGAGAGAGAGAGAGAGAATTCTGTTTTATCTCTAAAGAGAGAGAGAGAGAGAGAGAATTCTGTTTTATCTCTAAAAAGAGAGAGAGAGAATTCTGTTTTATCTCTAAAAAGAGAGAGAGAGAATTCTGTTTTATCTCTAGAAAGAGAGAGAGAGGTCTATTTTCTCTCTATAGAGAGAAAGAGAGAGAGAATTATGTTTTATCTCTAAAAAGAGAGAGAGAGGTCTGTTTTCTCTCTATAAAGAGAGAGAGAGGTCTGTTTTCTCTCTAGGGAAAAAGAGAGGAAGAGGCAAGTCTGTTTTCTCTCTAGAAAATGAGAGAGAACGAGAGAGAAGTGTGGTCGGCACCAGGTTTAATCGTCGCGATCGTCGAAGCAGACGGAGCACAGATGGATGCAAGAGAGAAAAAAGTAGTATCGGTGGTCGAATCCGACGTCCGTGAAATTGTTGCTGGCTGGACGGAGCAATAAGAACGAGAGCCACTATATTACCAACGCGATATTGCGTTTCGCGCGAGACGGGATTGCTCGATGAGCCGGACATATCGAGAGATATCGGGCCGGACGTTTAAAAGACACTCTATTCGCGGCTCGAGTATCCACTTATCCGGCTGTTTATTTCACGGACAAAAACGCTGGCAAATTTCTCCACCAGGGATATTCAATGGGAACGAAGGGGAAACATGCTGGAGGATCAAAGTGGAAGTCGAAGGTGTCCTAGGGTAGATCGAAGGAAACGACTAATCATCGAAAGAAGGGACAGTTTCTATTGAACGATTATTGCAATTGGGGAGAAAATTCTGATTCTGCGAGGAATGAACAATTTTTCACAATCTTTCTTTTAACTTTTTAGTATTTTATTTGAACAATTTTGCGAATCTTAATGAATCACAAATATTAGAAATCCTAGGATCGATCGAATGGAGCGATAAACGATCGAAAGAAGGGACAATTGCATCGTTTTTATTAAATAGCTATTGCAACTGATAAGAAAATTCTGATTCTGCAAGAAATGAATAATTTTCGATCACTGTTTTGCAAATTTTTTAGTATTTCATATTGGATTATGGGAGTTATCCTTATTTTAAACTATAAACTTTTATTTGACACAAGAAAGGTTCGCTTTTCTACTTGATGGCAAGAGCACTGTATACAGACTGAGAATGCTGCTACGCAACGCCCTAATATTGCCTACGACCCCGCTTGGGACCGAAGGGCCTTTTGTCACGTATCATAAACATTTAGATCTTTACTGAACAGAGGTGGTAAAGCTAAACGGATTTCTCCGAACGTATACAAAAGTAATAGTAAGGCGTTAGATTAATTTTTGTTATATCTAATTCGAGGCTGCCTTTATATTGGGGTTTTTGGGAGTTGCGGGTGGGGGAATTTAGGAATGCGTCCGTTAGGTAAGGACCAGGAATGTGTAAGGATAATGATCAGGACTCGTTAGGATTGAGGGTTCGATGGTACGGGAGAAGAATTACAGGGACCATGGTTAGGTAATGAACTTAAGGATTCGGTACAAAAGAAATGGGTAGAGTGCATCAGTTTGAAGATCTGTCGGAGATAGGACAGGAATTCGGTGGAAAAGTAGAAAACGCGCAGGTAGTTGTCAAAACGGTACCTGGGATAAGGATCCTGTATGCATGGGAGTCGAGGGACAAAGGGGTGAGGATTCGGCACTAGTAAGGCTTTAAATTAATTTTTGTTACATCTAACTGACTTATAAATCTAACATTTCATTCCAACGATTTTGTGAATTTTAGTGATTTATAAGTACATACCCATTATATGACCTAAATCTAATTTTAACTCTGTGTTCTCACTTACACCTTCGTGCGTTACACTTTCTATTACGTACATTGCCCCTCTTATCAAAGAATCCCTCCCTCTGCAGAATAACAACAACGATGACAATAATACTAACAAATTGCATTCCTTCGTCAAACTTAGTATAACACTTGTACGACTAAAAATTTTCAGACAACAACGCAATACTACAACAACACAAACATACTACAGCAATGAACAGCTAAAACGAGCTCCGTAACAATCAACTCTCATTCCATTCCGAAAGCGTCAAACGATAAAACATAAATTCCCCGTTACAACACTTACACCTAAACTTTCTCGGTACGAGAAAAAGAAATTCGCTCGAATAAAGCTGCCAATATCGAATCGCGTCCATCCTAAAACATTCTGTCGAATGTATAACGTACACACACTACCGCGTAATAATATCCACGACAGCAAGTTCCAGCTCGTAAAACCGCGAAAAAGTATCCTGGCGAGCATCGCCTGGTCAACGACACCAGACAATACTACATACACACGTATACGTACATATACACGTGTATGTGGTAACGTTTTCGAATCAGAATAACGCGCACACGCCATCCACGCGTTTTATTACGTATGCAAATTACGTCGAAAGAGAGTCGACGAAGCGATATGAAATTCAACGTAACGAGTTTCCACGCGTAAAAGTCGCGGAAGACGCGAGGCGAGCTCTCCTGCTCGCGTGAAATGACGCTTGCGGAAAGCCCCGTTTCACCGTATTAAACGTTTTCACCATTCGTTCCCCACCTAGCTCCTCTCCTCCTCTCCCCAAAACTGGTCTGTTTGCGCTCCATTTCTGCGTAAATAAATCGATCATTCCTCCTGGCAAAAAACGCGTTAAATCACTTTGTGAGCCGGGGAGCTGTTATCGAGAACCGCGTTTTTGGCGTGGCTCGTTCATGTCCGTCCAACGGTTGATGCATCATGCACGGATTGATCAATTTTTCATCGTACTGAGAGATAGATAGAGATATCGAGTGTAATGCGTGTACGTTTTTTTTTCTTTTCCTCCATGTGGTTGTTCCAGGATGCTCGGGAAATCCAGATGCGAAGCGACTGTACGACGACCTCCTGTCCAACTACAACAAGCTGGTTCGTCCAGTGGTCAACGTCACAGAAGCCCTCACCGTTAAGATCAAGCTCAAACTGTCGCAGTTGATCGATGTAGTGAGTTTTAAGTTTATACGGGGTTCGCCGGATAATTCGTGGAGATTTTTCACCTTCGAAAGAGGGGGGGGATGTTGGGTCACCACTGACCCGGTATTTAACCGTCGCGAATCTTCTGTCGTTGTATCGTCGATATGTTTGTTATTTCAGTCGTCATGTGTTTGAGTAGTTATAACCCTTTCACTGCTATTGGCGCTTAAAATTTTATCGCATCGTGGTGTTGGTGACTTTTGGTGCACTTTCGCCTTAATTCGATCCTTAAATTTTGCTGAAAATTCAATTCTCCGGGTACTCTCGCTTTAATTTGATAACAGAGATTTAAAAGTGATAGATTTTTTAATATTTCAAAATGATAAATATTAGATAGTTTTAGAAATGATCAATTTTTCATTTTTGAACGCCGAAACGAAAGATTTTGCCGATAATCTGCCGCAGCGAAAGGGTTAAACAATATAATTGTAGTATCGGGGCCTCCATGCCCAGAAAAATAGGAAACCAACACGGGGGAATAGAGAGGGAGTGGTTGGCGCAGCGCGCAAAGCCTCGGCTTTTGCTAAGCCGAAGGTCCCGGGTTCGATTCCCGTTGGGTCCTTTGATACTTTTCCGTCGTTGGTTCCTACAAATGGTTGGGAATGGAGGCATCTACGGCTACACGAAGCCAGGCGCTGTGAGATGAAAACATGTGAGAGGGGTGCACGTCTCCCAAAAGAGCTGAGAAGCAGAGTTTCGGCTGAGAGTGTGCCAGTGTGTGGGGGAGTGTACCCCAAAGTGTTGAGTTGTGTTGCACTGAGGACATTCGAGGGCGAATGTAAGTTCCGGATGGCCGAGTGTAGTATCGGGGCCTCCATACCCAAATAGGAAACCTCGAAGGGAGAGTAGAGAGGGAGTGGTTGGCGTAGCACGCAAAGCCTCGGCTTTTGCTAAGCCGAAGGTCCCGGGTTCGATTCCCGTTGGGTCCCTCGATACTTTTCCGTCGTTGGTTCCTACATCAGAGCTGCTTAACTTCTTGCTCACGAGCAAATTTCCCCTCCTGAGGTTCCCCCACTATGCGATGAGATGATCTCGCTCGAGTCGAGGACGCGAAGAGTCCTCCCATCACAACTCCAGCGATAGTTGTTTGGTACGAAATGACTGGCACGAACACGCAGAATGTGTAACATAAACAAAAGGCGAGATCATCTCAGTCGCATAGTGGGGGAGCCTCGGGAGGGGAAATTTGCTCGTAGCAAGAAGTTAAGCAGCTCTGTCCCTACATAATGCCTAATAAAATGAAAAAATGTGGTTTCGTTTGCGTATGAAGAAGACTTCAATATTGGGTCGCTTTTGACCCGGCGTCCGCCATTCGAGAGTTAAGTGAACAAGTAAATTCCATATTTTAAAGCAACACTTTCTTCACTCTGTAAGATACGTGTCACTTCAAGTCTTGCATCAATGTGAAAATTCGAAAATCGCACGCGAACTTCCGGCGAACTCAACGGAAGAATTCACACAGTTCACCGTTTAGAATGTAGAATTTAGCTAATGGGAATTTTCACGCTTTCACAGCTTCGACCGAACGAATGAAATTGAACGAAATGAATTAATTCGATTGAATTAATCGATGTTTCCGAAGCTTTGAGGAATATTAGCGGAAACGCGTCGGAAATTGAAAACTATTAAACAACACAACACAAACCCGGAAGCTTCGATTAGATTTTACCTAGATAGACGTAGGGATTTGTTTGTTCGGTAGACAAAGTGTGTTTAAAACGGTGAGATTGAAGGGAAATATTTATCTCGCACAATCAAAGCGAACGCGAGAGGATTGAATAGTTTCCCCGAATGCGCGTGGAAATTTTCAATCGCTGAAGCGCGCATGTTAAAGGTGTACGAATTCGAAGAGGGAAGAAACTACGTAAGAGCAGCCTTTTAGAGGGAATCTAAAGAGAATCTACACCAAGTCACGTTTCTTTGTACGTACACGCTCTCTATGCACACGCGATTTTCAATATATTTATATTAATACCAGTCATTTAACAATTGTGTATAGCCTAAGGAGTAAATAAATAATCGTTCAATTCAGTATTGCGGGTGTTTAACTGTTAGACTGCGGATTTTATGCAAATTCATATTTTCACGAATATAATTAAAAAAATAGAAACCAGATAGGCAAGTGCTTTATACATTTTGCATTTATTTATACATTTTTGCTTCTGTGCCTTCAAATTTTCCATAAGTGCATAGAAATCCGCAGTCTGTTAATACTGTCAATTTAAACGTAAAACTGTTTAGTTGAACATAAAATACTGTTATCAATACTGTCAACTTAAACATAAAACCAAAACTAACAAGTGTCCCACGACTCGTAATCAACAGTACAGTTACAAACAGCACAAAGTCCCACAAACTGTATAAAAAAAAAAAAAGAAATTGCTGATATATTCAACAAAATTTGTATATCTAAGTAAAAAACAAGCTTAACAAATTCTTACAAACGAAAGTCTAACAAACCTTCCATCTGATTGCAGAATCTGAAGAATCAAATCATGACGACGAACCTGTGGGTCGAACAGGTACGTTCTAACCGTTTATTATTCCAGCCAAAATAGACACATTTTTCTCTCGTGTCGGAGGAATTTTATGAAATTTCCTTGTTTTTTTTCCACCCCCCACCCCCTTCCTGCCGCTTGGTATTAATTTGGAGAAGCGTAGCGTAGGAAGTTACGCTTGCGTAACTTTCATTTCTGGTAATCGGTCGAGTCGCGGGGCCATTGTTTTGCGCGAATATATATAAACGGGGCACGGATACGTGCGGATAGTCGGTAAAACGAAAATCGGCCAGGAGCTTCCACTCGAGAGTCGCAAAATAAGTCCGGTGAACCGTGCAACCCACTTTCGAACGCTAGATTACGTAAGACAGATTCGCATCCGTTTCCGTGCATCCATTCCGCTACCACACCCTCCCCTCGCCTTCCTTCCCTTTTTTTATTGCTATTTTACACGATCTCGCGAACATCCTGACCGAAAGGGAATTAACGAAAAACGGAAAGCATTCGTTCTTTCTTTCGTTCCTTTTTTTGCACCCCTTTTCCCGAACTTTAAGCTCCACTTGGAATTTAACTTGGAAAATTGTTCCTCTTGGAAAATATGCGTGTAAGTTGCTTGGTAGCGAATTTTTTGGAATTTCTCCGTTCTGAGTTTTGGGAAAAAATGGGGGGATTAATTTGGAACTGGAGTATTTTCTATTGGGAATTTGAAAAAGAGGCGCTCGTTCTTCTGTGCTCCTTTCAGCTTTAAGTTCGAGTTCGGAGCTTTACGAACGCAAACCATTTTTTGCAATTTCTCAATTGTGAACTAATTTGATAAAATTTCCATTTCTGCAAGTGATAACAATATCCGTTTCTACTGTCGTTTTTTGCACTAAATTTCACGCATGCAAAACTTGTTACATTCCTCTAAAAAATAAAGACAAATAACAGTGAAATAGCGACGAATTTTGAAGGAAGACGAGGCTCGTTACGATATCGCGAAATTTCCCGGGATATTTTCACGGCGGTTCCCGTGCTCGTCCATTTTTGACGGTCAATTTGCCTTAATTGAATCCGCGATCACCTCGATGAAACGTGTTCGAACTCACCGGCGGCAGAGGGGATTCGCAGTATTTGCGGGCCGTTAATCTGTTAGGCGGGCGTCACCGGGTAACGACCGTAAGGACATAAAGACGAGCAGCGATATATAATCAGATCAAATATTGGTGGTTCGTCGAGACTCCATCGTTCCCGCATATATTAATGGAACGTTGGTCACGTGTAACAAACGTGTGAGAGAGAGGGAGAGGTGGTCGGTTGGTTTCCTTCGAACTTCAGTTTACCTTTCGATTCAACGGAGGAACCGCCGCTTTTAACGATCGATTTCCACCGTAGTGGCAATGCAAATCCTGGCGTGAAGAAGGTCAGAGGATTATCGAAGAGATTAAGAGCGTGAAACTTGTACTCCGTGTTCTGTATCTTCGAGGAACTTGCTTTTTAATCGTAATTCCGGGTATTAAGGTCGTGTGATATTAAACGACGGACTTATAGTCGTTTGTTAATTGATCGATCCAGTGATTAATCGAGCGCTACAAAGTTTCTTCAGTTTTTCGTGTTAACGTTTGAGAACTCTGAAAATGAGCGATGTTTAACAATTGTTTTTGGCTAAACTGGCGAGGGTATCGTGGTAATTCTGGCTTTGTTAGAAGGAAGCATCCTCGGGCTATCGTAAATACATTTTTCTCAATGTAATTTTTAATACTATTATTGTAAATTTTACACTCTAAGTTAGCACTGATTGGTGTGCAGACTAACATCCATCAAAATGATTTGAAAGCAGATAATTTCAAATATTAATGCTCTTTCAATATTTACACTAGGATTGAACCAACTTACAACAGAGGAAAAAAGGAAAACTTGAACATTTCGAAGGAAGACTCACTTTTTCTACCAAAAAAATCGGTTTCATAATAAATAAAGATAAAATACTATAAGTGTAACGTTTAATTAAATTTCAAAAACAATTTCCACTCCTCCCAGAAAATTCCAACATTTAATATCACACTAACACCCAAGCAAAACAATTCTACCAAAGTGATTCCCCTGAAAACTGCACCGCAACGATTCCTCGCCGTAACAGCAAGTAGTAAAATCAACCATAAGACAATCACTACTAATAAAGACACGAGAAAGGAAAGGATAAACGAAGATGATCTCGCTGCGAGCGTAGAAAAACCGTGCATTCATAAACCCGTCGAGCTGAGGAAAAATAAACAGGGATCATTTTTCCCCCCCGGAGATGGTGATTTTTAACATGGAGAACTCTCGAGCACCGGTTTAAATCGTGGCTCGCGTGACGCCGTTGAAGCAGCCACGAGGCGATGCGTATCAAGAAACGGCATCGAGACGAAGGAGGAATGTTTAATCCTCTGTCGATGTGTACAATGTTACCCGGTGGCATGGACGTTCGAGAGCTTAGGTAACTTGCGGGGAATGAAAATGTTGTGTGAGTTCGCGAACGCCCGAGAGTAAGGAGCTTGAGGAGTTAAGTGGTATTGGTCGCCATAAGTCAGACATTACAGCGCGTATTTACTCTGTTTCGTTCTCTAATATTCATTTCTTTCATTTCCTTCCCTCTTTTTACTGTTCATCGTGCTTCCTTTTTCTGTCACGAAGCTGTGTGGCGTAATCGATTGTTTCATTTTTCAAAATTTAGGTTGCGAAAGTACCTGTACCGCAAAACTTTCAATTCTCAGTTTACTGCTTGGAATAGTATTTTAATATACAGATTTATCGTCAGAAGTATTAGGATTTAAGGTAATCAATTAAAAGATACTACTCGAATTATAAATTCTTCTTTAGCTTGATACACGAGGAAGGCACGTCGATACGCAATTAATAAAACGAACATCGACAAGACGCTGAGAAAGAAAAACACAGCGTCACCCATACTAAACAGACGGTTATTGTGTTATTCTTCTGTATACGTTGATATTAATCTGTCTCGGTATCGTGGTACTGCGGTACAACTATAATGCTACGACACACGCTTCTCGACTTTTCCAAACACCCTGTCCCTTCATCCCTCGCACGCCGTACTTTATAGCCTTCGTGGGCCTCTCTCATGCTCGCCACATTTGCTTAAAACTACTTCTTCCCAAAAATTACGATACTACAGTACGTTGATCATTTTTGCTGTCACTATTACACAGGCACACGCTCGTTTCTCCTAGCAACCCAACAAGAAGAAGTGTCAGTAGTTGAACTGTAATTAAATCTTTTTTTTTCGTTCTCCACTTGCAACACTTTTCTAACGCGCATCCGACACAGTTGTATTAAAAATCTGACCTGATGAGAGCTAATTATTTTTACTTGCCCCTCCATCGGTGTGTTTCTTTTGTCCTATCGACTGTTTTATCCCTCCTTTTTCCCCTTTTCACAAACGAATCTACTCAAAAGCAACTTCCTTTGAGCCACATTAATTAACATTCTACCGCGTGTTCTCTACGATCCTATCAATTATATCAACGTTCCACACGATCCTGCCCTTCCCTCGTTATACTATTCTCCCTCCCGTGACACCTATATATCTCGAACAGTTGAAAATATTTTGCCCCTGAAAGAAACCTTCGTTTCAGCCTGCAGTTAATTAAAACACAATTGCCCGAACAATTCTTCTTCAACAAAGAATTTCAATTTCTAGGCTAATTGCTCGTTTGTTCTCTCCCTTTTTCCCCCCCCCCCCC